ATTTCTCACTCTTTGGATTTTTTGACTTTTCGAATTTCGATTTTTGGAATTTTTCAATCGTCGATTTTTCGATGTCTCAATTTTTCCATGTTTCAGTTTCGGAATTTTTAAATTTTTCGATTCATCAATTTTTTGATAGTTTTTGGATTTTTCAATATTTCGATTTTTAAATTTTAGACTTTCCGATTTTAAATTTTTCGAATTTGATATAAGAAATAAGTATATTTCGATTTCCCCATTCTTCAGTTCTTCCATCTTTTTCTTTGTCAATTTTTTTGTTTCGATTTCTCGATCTTTCGGTTCTTCGACTTCTTGGTTTTTGATTTTTGATTTTTTCAGTTTTTCGATTTTCTGATTGTTCCTTTCCGGATTTTTCGGTTTTTCAGAATTTTCAATTTTTCCATTATTAATTTTTCCAATGTGGGCTATTTCAATTCCTCGATTTCTCGTTTTTCTTTTTGTTTTCTCAGTTTTTCGAATTTTCAACTTTTACAATTTTTGACTGTTCGATTTCGCGATTTTGAATTTTTTAAATGTTTCAATTTTTCGATTTCTGCATTTTTCAAGTTTTCGATTTCTCAATTTTTCAACATTTCAATTTAGGCATTTTTTGTTTCTGGATTTTTCAATTTTTCGATATTTTAAATTTTAGGTTTTTCGATTGTTCACTCTTTTGATTTTTCCAATTTCGATTTTTCGAATTTTTAAATTGTCGATTTGTCAATTTCCCAATTTTTCCATGTTTCAGTTTTGGAATTTCTCAATTTTTCGATATATCACTTTTTCGATAGGTACATATTTCATTTTTTGGATTTTCAATATTTCGATATACTTTTCGATTTTAAATTTTGATATGTATTTCGATTTCCCGATTTTTCAATTCTTCGATCTTTTTATTTGTCAATTATTCCAATTTTTGAAATTTTGTCTTTAAAATTTTTTGTTTCGATTATTGATCTTTCGATTCTTCGACTTCTTGGTTTTAGATTATTGAATTTTTCGATTTTTAAAATTTTTTATATTCAAATTTTTCAGTTTTTCGATTCTTTAGTTTTTCGATTTATCGAGGTTTCGTTGTTTCCATTTTTCGTTTGTTCAATTTTCCAATTTTTCGATTTTTGGAATTTTTAAAATTTGTAATTTTTCAGTTTTCAATTATTAATTTTTCCATTTTGAGCTATTTCAATTTCTCGATGTTTTCGTGTTTCGATTTCTCGATGCTTCAGTTTTCCAATTTCTCGGTTTCTCGATTTTTCAAGTTTTTGATTTCTCAATTTTTCAAAATACCAATTTTGGGATTTTTTCAGCTTCTGAATTTTTCAACTTTTCGGTATTTTAATTTTTCAATTTTTAAAATTCTAGATTTTTCGAATTTTTAAATTGTCAATTTTTCGATGTCTCAATTTTTCCATGTTTCAGTTTTTGGATTTTTTAATATTTCGACTTTTAAATTTTAGACCTTTCGATTCTAAATTTTTCGAATTTTGATATGTATTCCGATTTCCCGATTTTTCAGTTCTTCGATATTTTTCTTTGTCAATTTTTTTTTTGTTTCGATTTCTCGATCTTTCGATTCTTCGTCTTCTTGGTTTTTGATTTTTGATTTTTTCAGTTTTTCGATTTTCTTATTATTCCTTTCCGGATTTTTCGGTTTTTTAGAATTTTAAATTATTCACTTTTTCCATTATTAATTTTTCCAATTTGGGCTATTTCAATTTCTCAATCTTTTCACTTTTGAAAGCTCAATTCGGAGATTTTTTAATTTCTCGATTTCTCGTTTTTCTTTTTGATTTTTCAGTGTTTCGGTTTTTTAACTTCATATCTTAAATTTTACAATATTCATTATATTTAATTTTTTGATTTTACAATTTTTTGATGGTTCGATTTTCCGATTTTGAATTTTTTAATGTTTCAATTTTCCGAATTTTCGATTTCGCAATTTTTCAACATTCCAATTTTGGGATTTTTTTCAGTTTCTGCATTTATCAATTTTTTGGCTTTTCGGATTTCGATTTTTCGAATTTTTAAATTGCCAACTGATCGATGTTTCAATTTTTCCATGTTTCAGTTTTTGGATTTTTCAATATTTCGACTTTTAAATTTTAGACTTTTCGATTTTAAATTTTTCGAATTTTGATATGTATTCCGATTTCCCGATTTTTCAGTTCTTCGATATTTTTCTTTGTCAATTTTTTTTTGTTTCGATTTCTCGATCTTTCGATTCTTCGTCTTCTTGGTTTTTGATTTTTTCAGTTTTTCGATTTTCTTATTATTCCTTTCCGGATTTTTCGGTTTTTCAGAATTTTTAATTATTCACTTTTTCCATTATTAATTTTTCCAATTTGGGCTATTTCAATTTCTCGATCTTTTCACTTTTGAAAGCTCAATTCGGGGATTTTTTAATTTCTCGATTTCTCGTTTTTCTTTTTGATTTTTCAGTGTTTCGGTTTTTTAACTTCATATCTTAAATTTTACAATATTCATTGTATTTAATTTTTCGATTTTACAATTTTTCAACATACCAATTTTGGGATTTTTTCAGCTTCTGGATTTTTCAACTTTTCGGTATTTTAATTTTTCAATTTTTTAAATTCTAGATTTTTCGATTTCTCAGTCCTTCGATTTTGAGTTTTAGAATTTCGATTTTTCGAATTTTTAAATTGTCAACTGATCGATGTCTCAATTTTTCCAAGTTTCAGTTTTGGAATTGTTCATTTTTTCCATTTATCAATTTTTCGATTGTTACGTGTTTCAGCTTTTGGGTTTTTCAGTATTTCGATTTTTAAATTTTAGACTTTTCCATTTTAAATCTTTCGAATTTTTGACATGTATTTCGATCCCCCAATTAAAAATTGGGGGATCGAAATGCAATCGAAAAAATTAAAAATATAGGATTTAAAAAATCCTATATTTTTAATTTTTTTTGGATTTCTCTATCTTTCCATTCTGTGACTTCTTGGGTTTAGATTTTTGAATATGTATTTCAATTTTTAAAATTTTTGATTTTTTAATTTTTCAGTTTTTCGATTTATTGAGATTTCGATGTTTCAATTTTTCGATATTTAAATTTTTCGGTTTTTTAAATTTTCGACTGCTGGACCTTGCGAATTTTCGACTTTTCAATTTTAAAAATGTTTCGCTTTCTCAGTTTGAAATTTTAAATTTGTAATTTAACACAGAAATTATGAACTATCAAGACTTTCCTAATACCAAACGAAAGAGCGTTTTTTTTTTTTTTTAATTGTAATGAGAAAAATATCGGTAACGAAACAAAAATTTAGTAAAGTACGAACCTGACACTGACCTAAATTTAAAAATTAATTATTCATAAGAACCGCATAGAAAAATACAAAACTTCTGACATTTAAATAATAAACGATTGAAAGTAAAATAAAAAAACAAATATTTTGAGTTACACTCATAATAAGTATTTTTAATGGATATTAAGCAACATCAAACGTGACTAGAGAGGCAATTAAGAAAATGCATCTGAAATAAAATTTACTAAATAATGTCTTAAAACGACGTTTTAATGTATTTTTAATAAATAGTGTAAAATAAGAATAACAATACATTTTTCCTGTGTTTCAAACCGCACTAATTCTTGTTCACTTCAGCGTAGCAACAACCTTAAGCATTTACTCGACAGAAAAGTGAAAATCTTGCATAACCAATTATAAAACCTATTCACCATTTTTAAGGCCTGCCTTTTAACATTTGAGTTTTCTAATCTACCCAATGACACACATATTGAATATTCAACGTCCATCTTCTTCAAAATTCAGTGATTCAGGTCGCCGTAGTCCGAAACTCATTAACTCATTAACAACATACACATTATTCGGCTAAAATAAATTTCAGGTAGACACGATGACTCACTTCCACAAGTGAAACAAAAATCAGGTTCAACATGAAAAAAACGCGGATTGTAACGACAACAAATTTTAATTTGACCATAAAATGAAACAATGGTAATTTACAATGATAAGTGACAACTCTTAATGCTGTGATAACATTGTCTAGATAACTGAGCTTGTGAGGAAATTAATGGCAATTCTACAACGCATTTCTTGTTTTCTGGTTTCAAGTACGAAAATTCGCTGTGGGAAGCGAATTATTAGAGATAATATGTTTTAAATCGACAACAAACACAGCTTAAGTTGTGTTTTCTGTACTCGTTATTCTGTGTAATCATACTAAAGTTGTGAAATTTTTTTCTGAGAAAGGGGATTCACAGAAGCTATATATAGTAAGAGCAGTTAATCATTTTATATTATGATAACCAAAGATGTTTGGCATCTGATGATCGATGTAGTCACACCCTTAAGTTTGCGCAATTTTTTATCTCACCTCTTTAGTACTATTTCGTAATTTTTTATATTCACGTAATCCATATAATCTAGAAGCAACAAAACCCAGAGACTGCAGACTCAAACGAATTTACTGAACTCCTTAAAATACTGTAATTGCATTATACACAAAATTAAGGAGACAAATTGCTGGCTAATTGGAGGTTAAAAAATATAAACTTATCTACGACAAAATTTCGTCGTTTCTGAAACGCGAACAACGCAAAAAACAATGCGTTTTAAGTTTTTGTAATTTTCTGATGACGTCATCAAGTTTTGGAGGGGATAAATACGCAAAGTTTGGCAACGGTGATGATCGTGGCTGGTAAAATCAAAACACACAAGTGTCACCTGTCAACATAAACAAATCCCTGTACTATGGCACCTGTAATATTACCAGTCAATTGTCACCCGTCGGAGAAACGTAAAGATAAATATTTTATCGCTTTTAACAATGACTCACCGATAAAAGTATTTATAAATAATAGTGTTTATTCATGTTGGAGCTGTGATATGGCTTCAAATAAAATAAGCAATTTTATCGAAATGAAATACGTCAATCAAATCACCAATCAAAATCTCCCCCCTTCACTCACCGACCAATCAAACCACACAATTTAAAGCCTCCCTCAAACCCTCCAATCAACTCACCCTCATTCGCCGGCGGGGTTTTCAGCGGATCAAACTGCAAAATCACGCTCTCCCTGCACTTCAAATTCTTCTCCTCCTGCAGCTTCACCATAAGCTTGTGCTCTTCATAAATAGAGTTCCGAACCACAACCGAAAAGTCCCTCAAATTCGAATTCACATCGCAACCGTCGCCCCTACTGGGGGCGTCCACGTCGTTATAAATATTCTCGACTTTAGTAACCGGGTCGTAAAACTTCCACGAGCCCGACCTGGACAAGTCCGAATCACTATTCGAATAAATAGGAAAAACACTCTCATAATTCTGGGGGTAACTCCCCACATTGCTCTGCTCCGAGTTGCTCGTGCTCCCCGAAACCGACGGCGGCGCGTCGTAGATGGAGTCTTGGGGCAGCGGCGGCGGCGGGTGATCCGGGGGCGGCGCGTTGAACTCCTCGTCGACGTTATTATAAATACTCGACGCGCGACTCAGAGGCGACTCAAAACTTATCGAACTGAACATGTCAAAAGTGTCATCAAACTGGTCCTCTTCGGGGTCATTGCTCTGGGGGGTGTCCTCCGAATGGTACGAATTAAAACGTTTAGTGATCTTCCGCACGCTCTGTCTGGTCCCCTCAATCACAGCCTTCTTTTTGTCTTGCACCAGTTCGCCAATATCCTCTGCGATCTGTCTGGACGCATTGCTGAGGGAGCGAACTCTTCGGGAAAAAGTGTTTGTGTGTTCTTCAGGGGGGTCGGGTTTGGGTTTGGCGGTCCTACGGGGCGTGGGGACGGGCTTTTTGGGGTCGGACGGGGGGTTGGAACGGGGGGCGGGTACGGGGGCGCTCATTTTGACCAATCAAGTGTGCATTTCAGGCGCCTGCACACAAAAAAATGACATTATTGTTGTCGTCTAGTTACAATTGTTACCTGTAGCGGTGTACTCCTTTCTATTGCGAGATTACAGTTATCTCTCACCATTATACATAGTTTTCGAGTGATAGTGTCAAAATAAAACAATCGCCACTAGTGAAATGAAATGTCAATGTCCTGTCATTTCATTACCAACCACTACACGTGAAAAACAAACTGAGACAACAACATGAGGCGAAAAATGAAAACACGTCGGTTGTTGCGCTCTCGGTGCAACAACTGTGCTAACCACACTCCTGCGGGTTGTGGAGGAACTGCATGATTTCTGTTTTTATGACGCATAATCGGTGCGGATTGACAGTTCGATGGCTGCGCGACGATACGTCTGTCCTTTTTACTGTAGATAGCGAGGTGTGTAGCGAACAGAGACAACTATCGTTGGTGGGGCGATAAATACGCCTGTGCTACACGTCATTGGCGTGCATGACTAATGTTCGTAGTGGGGGCACCGAATGGTAAATCATCTCCGTGGTGTCGCGGATTCTCTTTGTGTATGATTATGTGAAAGTGATAGCGAGGAAAAAAGTACGACCTTGGATTCTGGTCTTACTTTACTGGTTTTCATTACGGGATTGGTGGTTTCCATTCTGGTTTAGTGAATATATTATGTATATGGCAGCAATAAAAAGTGTAAAGAACTGGTTAAAAAAGACTTGATTTTGAGTAACTAAATTTTCATGGGCAACTAAGACCTATATTTTTTCTATTGATGTGGTTCAAATCACAAACCTCCAAAGCATATAGACGTCTTTTTGATTTTTAATGCCTTGTCTGAACTACTAAATTAATATAACATAAATACATAATTTTCATAAACAATTTGACCCGCAAGAGTTTCTACGCACTTTTAAAGTCCCTAACAATAAGTGTTATAATATTTTTGATTAGGATATTTTTGGAAGAGTTCGTTAAAACCGTTGAAAGTAATGTTATAATATTTTTCATTAGGATATTTCTGGAAGAGTTCGTTAAAACCGTTGAAAACAATGAAATCACTACAAACGAACTTTTCAACAATTAGTGCATAATTATGACCAGAGCGAATTGGGAAACAACGGTTCTACAACGGATTTAACAATATCGGTTACGATTTAGTTTAAATGAGATTGGTTGTAGGATCAACTGTCGAATGAATATTTTGAATATGATTGGGACTTCGTATGATTGAGAGGGAGAATGCGAGTCTTTATAATTGTAAGTTAGTTTAAGAAAAGTCAGTACTTCGATAGAAAAGAGTCATGAGAGGTGACTAGTTTGTAGAAGTGCTCAATAAAGTAAAAGTGAGTACTTCGAGAATTAAGAGTCATGAGAGGTGACTAGTTCTTCAGAAGTGCTCAGTGGAGCAAGTTAATGTACCTACGATAGAGTGAAATAAAGGAACATAATTCAGAGCAATTAGTGTTATTTCGAAAAGCTCTAGTTATCTCATGAGGAGATAATTGGACACAAGAAAAGTTAGAGTTGGTGATTTTAGTGTGTATTTTTATAGCAATTTCTCAAAAAGCGGGAAATTTTTATATCATAAGTAATACTTATATACTTTACTCAAGTGATATATATGCAGTATGGAAAAACTAATATCACCTAAATATACCGCGCGATTACTCAGTTTGGTATTCACACCCATTTATCTCTGGAATTACCAACACAACTATATATTTTGACGCATTATAAATGAAATACGACTTGAAAATATATGCTTACAAAAAATAGTTTTACAATAACATAAATGTTTAAAGAACATTTCATACATTCGGTGAAAAAGTCTCGATATTTGGCGGATTCTATTTTTTTTATAAAAAAAAACAAATCCAGTAAGTTCACAATAATTAAGTAAGTTTTTTTTTGTTGCAACTTGACAAATGATGTAAATTTATGTAATTGTGTGATTAAATAAGGCAAACACTCTCTATAATAACGAGCCGATGAACTTTGTGAGAACTTCGCGCCACACTTAATTATAAAATTTCTCATAAAGTAGAGTGTTATGTGTGTGTGGAAATGACTAACACCAGGTAGGGTTTCTCTATAGTTTATTTACAAACGGATATCTTACACGTGGAACAGGAGACGGTACCCATCTTCTTCGTTTCGATGTCGGCGGCAGAAGAGAGTACTTGCCGTACTCGCGCCTCCTTGTGTCCCCAGTTGGTCTCTGCGTCGGCGCCAGGCTAACCAATCACGAGTGGTGTTCGGTGAGCATATTGAGTTGCCTACTCGTAGGCGAGAGGAAGTAGTACGTGTGCGTTGTGTTGCCTACATTAACATCACAGCAACGCCACATACCCCCCCCCAAGTAACGGGTGACAGCTGTCAAAACGGCTGTCAGTTGTCATTCTCTGAAACGTGCGGGGAGCGTTGACCTGCGGCCTGACCTGGTGGTTTGAGTAACTTCCTGTGTTCGTACTGGGGATGGAGCCGGTGGTGGTTCTGGTTCTTGGAGAATAAAAGCGGGTTTTACTCTGTCGATATTCACTGTTGTTTCCCTACCGCCTACATTGACCTTTATTGTCTTAGCAGTACGAGACAGAACAAGGTGTGGACCGGTGTAGGGCTGTTGGAGCGGTCTTCGCACGGTGTCGTCTCTTAGGAAAACATGGCTACATTTACTGAGCTCTGTGTGGACGAAGGTGCTTTGCCTAATGTGGTGCGACGCTGGAGTTGGGCGAAGTTTCCTTATGTGGTCCCGTAGTTTTTCTACAAAGGTAGTGGGTTCTACGGATCTGTCGATATTGCTGAAAAAGAATTCGCCTGGGACTTTCAGTTGCGTTCCGTAGGTCAGCTCTGCTGGTGAGTGACCGATGTCTTCTTTGATGGCTGTACGTAACCCTAATAATACTGTAGGTAGAACGTCTAGCCAACTTTCTGCTTCATGGCACATGATGGCTGCCTTCATGGTTCGATGCCATCTCTCGATAAGGCCGTTGCTCTGGGGCCTATATGGCGTCGTCCGAGAGCGCTGAATGCCCAAAATTTTCGCCAAGGCATTCATGGTGGATGCTTCAAATTGTCGCCCTTGGTCGGTTGTAATTTGTCTTGGGCAACCGAATCTTGAAATCCATGTTTCGTAGAATGTCTTGGCGACTGTCTCTGCGGTCATGTCGGTCATGGGTGCGATCTCTGGCCACCTGGTGAAACGGTCAGACATAGTGAGGCAATACCTGTAGCTTTGAGAGGGAGGTAGCGGACCTACTATATCGATGTGCACATGTTGGAACCGTTCTGTGACGTCATCGAAATGCTGTAATGGGGCTTTGGTGTGTCGGCCAACTTTGGATCGCTGGCAAGGGATGCAGCTTCGTGCCCACTTCATTATGTGACTCTCCATAAATGGCCACACAAATCGCTTCTTGATGAGCTTACTGGTCGCTCGGCCGCTGGGGTGTGAGAGGTTGTGAAATCCTTCAAAAATTACTTTTCTCGAATCTTGTGGAACGTATGGTCTAACCACCCCCGTTGACGTGTCACACCAGATAGCTTTCTGGCCGGCCTGTGGGGTGAGTTTTTCTAACCGCAGGCTTGTTGTATCAGAGTTTAAAAGTGCTTTTAGTTCGGCGTCTTTTTCTTGTTCCTTGGCTAAGTCGTCGGTGTCAATGAACGTAGGAGTTGTGATTTCATTGACCCTTGAAAGTGTGTCTGCAACTGTGTTTTGTTCTCCTGAAATGTGGATAATGTTGGTGGAAAACTGGCCGATGAAATCTAGCTGCCTGACTTGTCTTGGGGATGCTTTGCCTGCTTTCTGCTGAAACGCGTAGATGAGGGGTTTGTGGTCGGTGAGTATGCAAAAGTCTCTGCCTTCCACCATGTGCCTGAAGAATTTTATGGTTTCGTAAACTGCAAGCAGCTCACGATCGTATGCGCTGTAGTTGCGCTGCTCCTTGCTAAGTTTTCTGGAGAAGAAACCTAAAGGTTGCCAGGTCCCATTGGAGTGCTGCTCTAGTACGCCCCCGATTGCGTAATCAGAAGCATCGGTGATAATTCTGAGCGGCAGATTTTCGGCGGGATGTGCCAGAAGCGCGGCGTTGGCTAACTCTGTCTTGCACGTTTCAAAAGCGGCTTCAGCTTCTTCTGTCCACTCGACTATTGTTTTGTCATTCTTCCGCGCGTTGTTCAGATATTGGTGAAGTGGTGTTTGGGTCTGGGCTGCGTGGGGAATGAAACGTCGGTAGAAGTTGATCATGCCAAGGAACCGTCGCAGATCTTGAACTGTCTTTGGTTTGGGGAATTCGCGGATTGCACTGACCGACGTCTCAAGTGGTTTGGTTCCACTCCCGGAAATCGTATGTCCTAAATATTTCACTTCGGCTTCACCAAACACGCACTTGGTCGGGTTAATCACTATGTGATGCTCCCGTAACCTAGAAAATAACATTTTTAGATGTTCGACGTGCTCTGCTTCATCTCGGGAGAACACTAAGATGTCGTCTATATACACGTAGCAGAAATCAAGGTCACTTATTAGAGAGTTCAGGTGTCTTTGGAAAGTCTGTGCGGCATTACGTAGTCCGAACGTCATAACTGTAAACTCGAAGAGCCCGAACGGAGTGCACACGGCTGTTTTAGGAACGTCTTCTTCAGCCACGGGAATTTGATGGTATGCGCGCACTAGGTCTATGGTGGAGAACACACTTTTACCTTCGAGTCTGTAGGTGAAGTCCTGTATATGAGGGATGGGGTAGCTGTCAGGCACTGTCACGTTGTTTAGGCGCCTATAGTCGCCACATGGACGCCATTCACCAGGGAGTTTCTTTGGGACAAGGTGAAGCGGACTAGCCCAAGGGCTCTTGGATGGTCGGCACCAGCCCTGTTCCATCATATATTGGAATTCGGCTTTCGCCACTCTCAACTTCTCGGGTGCAAGCCTGCGAGGAGCTTCTGCGACCGGGGGACCTCTGGTGATGATGTGGTGGAACACGTTGCCCCTGTGCTTCGTTCCAGGTGGCGGTGGGCGTGTAATTTCTGCGAAATCCGCTAGCAGTGCGTGATATGGCGTCGTCTTGGCCACTGTCGTGATCTGAGGCGACTTGCATATAGCCAGGGTTCCGCGAGTTGATAAGAGGGTGGCTGCGTCTACGAGGCGTCGGTTGCGGAGATCAGGTAGGAGGTTGTGATGCCTCAGGAAGTCTGCTCCGATGATGGGTTTGCCTACGTCTGCCACTATAAATACCCACTTGAACGGACGTTTCAGCTTGAGATCAAGGAACATTAGCTTTTGGCCGTATGTTCTGATCGCGCTGTCGTTGGCCGCGAAGAGCGTTGTCTCAGCTGGGCTGAGATGTTGTCTGCCTGAGAACAATCTCTTGGGTAACACGGAAACTTCTGCCCCCGTGTCGATTAAATATC